CTTCTCCTCCCACCCTTCCCTCTGCTGTACTTTCTTTTCTCTCCGAAACTCCCCTTTTCATGTTTGGCAGAAAGCTTTTGCATGCATTCTCTATTAGTCCCATCCACTCTCTCTCTCCCTCTCTCTCTCTCTCTCTCTCTCTCTCTCTCTCTCTCTGTAGACCACACAGTAAAATGGTCAACTCATACACTGTATCCATGTTAATCAGAACCATATTTCCTCCTCCACTTCGTTCTTTTTCTCCTCTCCAACCTAAATCCCTCCATTCACGGTCCGACCGTTCCCCTCCTCCCCTTTCAGTAGTGGTAACACAAATCCGTAGGAAAGGGTAAAACTTATTTTTGGAAAGGAGTGCAAATTCCTCCTCCTCCCATTGCTTCCTCTAAGTCAAGTAAGCTTTTCATTGACCCCATTGTAAATGGACTTTTAATGTGACATTACAGCAAAGTAACACACCCTAAAATAACATTCTCCTTTCCACCAGAAAAACTTTCACTCTCACTCGCACCATGTTCAGCCCAGTTTCTAACCTAACGTATCAAAGGGAAGCAGCATCTTCTGTCACGCTTCCTTCATTACAGTCTCCCTCTCATTAAGGGAGACACTCATCCATTTTCTAATAAAACACACCCTGCCAAGCATTCTTGCAGATCTCTCCTGAGAGCCTCTTATGAAATAGCTCGTCTGTCCCTCAACGCGCTGAACTGCCCCCTTAAACTTACAAGAGCATCTCAGATAATGTTTTCATTTAAGAGCTCAGTGGGCTATCTCTCGTGCCTCTTGGTCCCTACACACCCAAACCCTTTCCTTGAATCATACTGAGCTCAAATCAACATCTGTTCCAGTAACTGCTGTTATGTAACCGTATTGGAAAGCATTTCCGAGGCCAAACCTCCTTACAATAAAATAAAATGAGCACAGAGATGGACAGTGGTCCTCTTAAATAACAGCAGCCACTTTTTGTCGTGACCTCTAGCCCAGACGCCTGACCCGCGAGATGAGAGAGCAGAGTGAAGCGGATCCAGGCATGAGGAGAAGCTTGAGTCATATAGGTCACAGTCGAGTTGTGCAAAGTGACTATAAGAAGAGAATATGAGTGGCAGGTTTTCAAACTTAAAAGGGCAAGCCCATTCAACATCAGTCAAAGTGCATACTAATAGCTTTTTATACTCTCCAGAACTATACCTCTAAAACATAACTCAAAATTATTCTAACATTAGACCAGAAGCTATTCCCAGTGACAGGATGATGGGTGGACTTGACACCGTAGTCAGTGTGGTTCCTCGGCAGCGCTGAGGCGACGATTAAATCATGATAATGGCCCACCATATTTCCAAGCCATCATCATCACCATCCCATGACGGTGTTATCATCAATAACTACAACACACCACTGTCATCTGCCTGACAACAGCAGGAGCACAGCAGCCCTGCCCCCTGGAAATTAGGGTGCTGTAGTGATGGCATCTCACACACATACTGAACCATGAAGGCTCACACGGTATAGGTGCAGCCTGAACTCCTCATATACAGGGGGAAGTTTCTCACGTGAGTCTCTCCCTCCTCCTCACACACACGCGCGCGCGCGCACACACACACACGCACACACACACACACACATTAGTTAGTGTATTAGAAGTGTGTTGGTCGTACATTGTGTACCCAGGTCGCAGCTGCGTAGGCTGACTGATGTTGCTACTGTAGATACAGTACGGGCAGTGGGGGTGTTACCGCACTGGAGCAACCTATCACTGCTTTACTGAGGACGTCAACAGGAGCTTCCTTCTCCATAATGACTTTGCGCACCTCTGAAAATCACTATCCGCCTGATGCTGTCGCACTTACAAATGATACACACATGCACGTGCTGTTGTTGTCGTCACTCCTGTCTCGGGAATAAAATATATCGCACATTTCAGCGTCTTAAAAAACATTCACAGCTGCACACTGAAACTCAACATGGAAGTGGGGGCTACGTAGCACGAAAATGTGCTTGCTGATGGTGTTTGTGATGTGGATTAGTCCCGAGCCACCTTTTTCTCTTCTATCTGTCCTCTGCTAGCCCTTCTGCTGGTGTCAGCAACACTGAAATAAGAAATATCACCACGCACGGAGAACAGAGGGGAAACACACTCAGCAACAAGGGATAAAATTAGCGCTACAGCGGATGCACGAAATTCTCTGTAACCTACTGTGCTTTGAGCTGGCTGCTGATGACAGGCCTGCACACAATAATACAGACTGCCATGACAAGCTGTAATAAGGCTACGTAGGCTACTTACCCGAGAGCGCGTCCCAGAGCCAACTGCGTTTAGGCAGGAGGTTAAGGTGTTGCTGTCCTGCTCTCCTCTTCGCACCAACAGCAATCCACAGCTTTTGGTGCATTAGATGTTGCTTTGATTACATAACTAAGGCCAGCGGAGGTTAAAACACCTCCTAAAACCGAGTTTCAGTCCCATCAGAGCGCAGAGCCTACTGTGCAACAACATTGGCGCGGGTGTTTTCATAATCATACACTCGACAGATCTCCGTCGGCGCGTCTCCGCAGCTAGGTGGCGGACTGGTTACACTCCTGGAGCTGTATTTCGCCACTTCTCTCGGGGAAAGTTACATCGCTCCCGCCTATGATAATGGCTCAGATCGGGCTCTCGTATGCGCACAGGCTGTTAACGTGTCAGGGCTGAGGGCTGAAGGCTGCAGCAGTGTGTGTGTGTGTGTGTGTGTGTGTGTGTGTGTGTGTGTGTGTGTGTGTGTGTGTGTGTGTGTGTGTGTGTGTGTGTGTGTGCGCTACAGTGGTTACAGGCTGACGGAGCAGAGGGGTTGGTGGATGTGCGGGAATGCAACTGCGTGGCCATTTTCATGTGGCCAGAGGAGGGGATAAAACGGTGAATACAGCACAGGATCTCATTGCGGTTCATAATAGGCGATTGGGGAGGGCTATTTAGACGCTTAATAAAATGGCGACGACTTGGCAAAAATAGGCTGCTGGTAGGATCCGAGGAGCAGCTGAAAAGTTGCATCGTGTAATATAATACGGGATTCATCTTACACAGTGTAAGAGAGAGGAAAGAAGGGCAGACTGGGCTGAGCACTTATTAAAAAGTTAATCTGTGAGATTGTTTATCATCTATCACGATGCAACAGAAAAAAGACTGATCGTAAACTGCAAGCAGTGTTTTTCATGCAGTGGGAACAACACATCTATATAGTGCACAACAAAACAATCTGATTATACATATTTTAAAAACATATTTTAATATAAAGATTAAAATAAAGTTATAGCTAATCGAAAATACTATTGATAAAACGATTATAGTAATTATAGATTTATACTTTTATTCAGTACTAGCAGTAGTAGGAGTAGTAATACCATCATTTCTGCTATTTTGTTGTTTATATGTCTATGCACAGAACCAGATTAACACACTATGGATCCGCAGTAAAAAAAAAAAAAAGAAAAAAAAAAAGCTTTTGGGCTTTTACTTGCCCCCTGTGCATTGTCTATGTACACTGTAACCTCCCAGTAAATATACAACACTATACATGAAGTTCACCCATACCCAGTTGACAAGCCGGAACTACCTGTACAGGGTTGCTGTTTGTCCAATAGATAGCTACCGACAATCAAAATGAAATATACAATTATTTAAAAATATGCACTAATGAAGGCGATATCACCTAAAAATAAAGTTTTTAAAGCTGGATTTTGATTTGGGTCCCATTATAAGACAGATCCTCAGCATGCTGTAATGATGCAGGACTTGCCATAAGGCCCCTAGTGTTTAAGTTAAGTAGAAACCAACTGACACCCTATCATTAGCTGTCACTGGTCCATGTGGCTCAAATCAAATCAGATCTTGATAAAGAAAAAGGCTCTGCTCACTTAGGTACAATAACAGATGTACTTAATCAAAAAGAACCACAGCTAGACTAAACTATCTAAACCACAACTAGATTTTGACACAGATTAGATGAAAATACACAAACACCTTTGTTGATATTGTATTTTAGCAGTGCATATTCCTAAGCCAGTTTGAATGAATTCAAATTGTGTATAACTTGTGCACAAAGAGTGAACTTTTTGAGCTCCTGTGGCTTTGAGCCTTAGAGGCAGTTTCTCTCTTAGCCTGGCTGGTAATCCAGCTGCTACTTTACATTTCACATACAGTCAATTATTTGTATGATGTTTGCTGTAGACTGTATGTGTAGCACACATCATGATTGCAAATTGTAAAGTTCTAAAAATGAAAAGGAAGATTAAAAAAATTGTCACACACACACACACACACATATTCACACACAGTGTGCAGTCAAATGCTTAGTTACTATATCCAGACTGTGCATAGTGCATCTAATGAAATAGAGAAAAATGCAAAGATATATTTTTTAGAATAGAACAGAATTTAAAGAGCAAATTCAGGTGATAAAAAGTTGAAAAAGCAAGTATGTAGTCCTAAGGAGTTAGTAGAATGTAAGAATTGAGTAAAAATTGAATGTAGAACATGGAATATGACAAACGCAGCAATATGGAGTGTGAAAGTGTGGTACAAAATGTGGATATTGATATTTCAAAAGCATAACAAATATAGAGGTAAGTGTAATGTAAGTTTGCTCTATGATGTTAGTATACACTGTTATTGTTATCTCCTTTGTAAAAGTGGCTTGTAACATTTTTTTCTTAATCTCCCTATTTCCACTACAGATCTAGTAGTTAACTCCCCCACTGGGCCTTACTATAGGTTTAGAAAATAAAAAGTGGGCAAAATCTCACAGGACTCCTGTCAAAACAGCCATGTTTAGTGCTTTTAAACTGGTTATTACGCACTGAACACCTCCACAATATGTTTACAGCTGTCATTAGTCTACCTGCATGGATTATTATTACAGGTGAAACATGTCAAAGTCGGATAAACTCCATTTTCCTCTGTTGTTGTCGCCTGGCTCCTCGCACCTGATTGGCCAAACAGATTTGTGATGGCGTCACGTCACTTCCTGCTCAGCGCTGCATGATGGCGGTGTCCATGGTGGCTCTGGCACATTGACTTGGCCTGGAGGTGTAAGGTTTACTCTCTGCCTAACGTAAAAGCCAGGACGTTTCTCTCTATATGACATTACCCGAAGACCTCGCCAGTGGACATTTAATGAGCTGAATGCAGGTAAACGGCTTCATGTGCTCACATAGGTCCGCACTGCTGATGTTAGCTGTTAGCTAAGGGTTTACGCAAGGTTACGGGACTGTGGTGTGAGTTTGCACATTACCTGCTGCTTTGGAGCCTGAGGTTTCCTGAAATATGACTTTAATTCATGTCTTCCTCCGTGTTTCAGATCATGGCGCTTCACAGACTGTCCTTCAGACTACGGCAAACGGTGAGGTCACTATTAGCAAGACGTTGAAGTGAGAAGCCGCAGACACATAACCTGTGGACTGTACAATGACAATAATCCCTTTTAGACATTTTGACCATGGGCAGCTGCTCTGTTTACAACGCAAGGGAGGAAATTATGTAACTGTGCATTAATTTACATGCCTGTCAATAAACCCTCTAAAGAAATCTAACCATGGGTAAGATAACTGGTGTAGTTATTTTCAAGGTTTGGTGTATAGTGTATCAAAATGTACTGCCTCATAGGTTTAGGTAAACTCTCATTTGGTAACTATGTAAAAATGGTCAAAAGGAACATTAAGTAAATCGTTAGAAAGCTTTCAACAGCTAATCAACAGAAAAATAATCACCAACGATTTAGATTTTTTTCAAGCAGAAATGGTTAAACGGTACCAAATAGTCTCCGATATCAGTCTCTCAAGTGAAATGATTTTCTGCTGAGAATTTCATTAAAATAAAAAAAATAAAAATTGTCATCTGTCATGTCTCTGCAAAGTACTGATGGGCATTTATGACATTTTTTGACTTTTAATGATCTAAATGATTAATTGAAAATGGTCTGCAGATTAATTGATAATGAAAATATAATGAATAATGAAACTGTTGAGGTATTTATGTACTCATTTAAGACTCAGCATCTTTCTTTTGAACACTCGGTGCGTCCATTCAGTCCAAGAGGAGCTGCAGAAAGATTCACCTGTGTGATTTAAGTTTGAAATGCACTTTAAATTTATCATAAAACTTGAGTTAAGCTTTTTCTGAAAATGCCTGTCAGATGACATGATGGATAAATGTAGATCACAGTACATGTTTACATTGAAGCCTTTTGATTTGGCTCAGTTTAAACTGAAGGCTTTTCATCAGTGTATTAAGGTATTGGATTCATTTTTTAGGTATTATATCTAAAAATATATTTTGTCACATATTAACACACATTACTATTTGTTCTATTTGTGTTATATTTCTTGACCCCCTGTATATATTGTGCTTTCAGTGTATGACTAAATATACCAAAAACACAATATATATAAATTGTGAATAAGAATATTCCCTCCACTAAACATTAACAGGTAACACATGTAAGGACCCTCCATACCAGTGGGTGTGGGCAGCAGCAGGAGGCTGTGGCTGTAGAGTCAGAATCTGAGCCATTCTCAGTTTTCAGAACGCAGGAGAATGATCCGGTGAGCAAAGTGTTCAGACAACTAATATCCTCACCGTGGTGTGCTATGATTGGTGATCTATGATTTTTTAGCTGGTGAGCTCACTGTTTGTGTCTCTCCAGGCATGTCAGTCTGAGAAACATATAGGACAGTATTACACTCTGCCCTCTGCACACATCCACACGCTGTTCCCTCGTGGCCTCCCCTGGCGTTATCAACAGCAGGTGGGTTCCTGTTTGTATCTCATGCACAATATATATTTGTTTTAATGGGTCATGGATAATATTTTATGACTTGGTAAAATGTCTACAATTAAGACATTTTTTCATGTATGATTTTATAGGTGAAGGCGTTCAATGAAGCCTGTATAATGGTGAGGCAGCCAGCTCTGGAGGTCATCTCGTACCTGAAGAAAACAGATTACAGCAAACCTGCACAGCGATATTTATTCTGTATCCTTCAAAAATACACAGTCGCCACACACAGACAGAAAAAATGAACACACTCCTCTTGAAGATCCTGATTTGTTGACTATTGTTGACCTTATGAAGTCGTTCAGACGGGTTGCAGGGCAGTGGGAAGACGATGTCTCTCTGTCACACACTCCACTTCTGCTACACACAGGGATGGCTGGTGCTGCATATTCCTGACGGTGAGACAACCACTGTCACACATAACAGATTGCTGACTGGTAACCAGAAAGTTTCAATAGTTAACCCCTTCTACGTCTTCTCTGTGTGTGTTTTTTTTTTTTTTTTTTAAATTATACAGCTCACATCTGGGTGAAGAACTGTAAAGAGCTGCTGCCCTCATCCTATAACACCTCTCGCTTTGACCAGCCATTACAAGCTGCTGAATGGTTACGAAGCTTCAGGACCACCAATGAGAAATTCCTTTCAACGGTAACAATTTTTAGGCAGTTTAGTTCATGAACATCAGTCTCAGTTGATATTTACATTTGCTGCAATTTTACAATATAAACTAAATGATTCTGAATATATGTATAAGACTTGTGGAGTTTTACAAGATTTGTCACATTATTAACAAGCGCTTAGGCATTAATGGGCATTAAATGAGCCGCCACTGCGTCTTCACAGCAGTTACTGATATATGTTAAGCAGTTAAACTGCTTGATGATACCACCTGAATCTACCCATGTGTAAAACTAAAAAGAAGGCGTTGGCACAGTAGCAACAGCAGCATGATGAAGGAAAAGTCTGACATTTTATTGTAATCAGTACAAAGTCAGACCCTGCTCTGTTGTGTGTCAAAATGAAAATGGATGGAACAGGTTTGCAGTCAATATAAACACCTTTATCAAAATACTGTCTGGCTTGTAATAAGGTAAATAGTCACATTATAGAGTAATCTGACAATGTTTGTTAAAGACAATCTAGGAAGTTAACTCTACTCAGCACTCACATCGCATTTTGCTCAAGAAAATCCCCACAAAGCAACACAGTCTTAAACATGTTGACACACATGCAAGTAATGTGACTAGAAAGGAAACACTGAGCAGCTTAAAGATTCTCGTTTGAGATATTAATGGATGTAATTATTGTCGTGGAACTAAAACATTTATAACTTTATATGAACCTCGATCCTTACTTCCCACATTTCCTCTGTGAGGAAAGAAACTCAGATGAGAACCTAGTCCATATAGAACTGGTCAGTGAAACTGTGCTGTTTCTTTCCTAGATAAAGACAAAGCATCGTTATGTGTGGACAAAGAGAGAGTTCACTGAGGAGGGAAGTCTACTAGGACAGTTGGTGGATCAGGTGAGTCCTCACAGTGTAGATGAGTGGGAGCCTGGATGTCCTGCCTTCAGCTCTTTATTTTTCTGCTTTTGATATTTTTGTTCACTGGAGATGTGGTTTATCTCCTCCTTCAAGACATTTTTCATATTTCTATCTGTTACCTACTGGACTGATTTCCCCACAGGGATCATTAAAGTTTCATCTATTACCTTGCCTGTGCTTAGTGGTGATCAATATTCGATGAGCTGGGCATGGTGATGGATCAGCACAATATTTTTGTACCACACATGTACAAAGGACTAAACGAGCAGCAGATTTATTTGCAGCCTGTGAATCTCTCACTTTTTGTCATTTTGCTCAGCTGTTGTTCAGCATATCATTTGCTCTAAGATAAGGGAAACGTTGGGATATTAGTGCTGCTACAGTGTGTCTGACCTGTCAGTGAAGCTATTTCTAGGTGATTGCTGGTGTTACTGTGAGCTTGTTGTGGTGTATAAATGTGGTTAGATCTTATACTGATAACCAGCCATCTGACAGGACGTTACTTGACAAAATAGGTTAGACTGACAGATGTTGTATTTTCTTTCTCACTGAATCTGTTTCAGAGCTCCAGTTTTGGCATCTGTACTGAACAGCACAAGATTAAAAGGACAGAAATTGTGCTATTTGACTATAACTCAGTTGCTCAGATTTATTGTTACTACTGTTACTATTTCAGTCCTTAAGATTTCCCCTACATAATATATCAGGCTTTGATGGAGTTTCCTTTGCCGTAGGGTATATCTCGTGTGAAGAGCAGCAGTGATGTGGTGGGGGCGGTGATGAAGGAACTGAGGCTGCAAAGCGGGCAGCCGGAGTCAAACTTCCGCCTGGCCGTGGCTGTGGATGGTGTCAATGCCCTGTGGGGAAGATCTACCATCAAGAAGGAGGATAAGAGCGCTGTGAGGAAACATATTCACAAAACTGTCATGCCTCATACTTGTCTTAATGTCTCTGTTCCACTTTCCATTGACAGGAAGTCTTATGTCTCTCCCTCTCTCGCTCTCTCTCTCTCTCTCTCTCTCTCTCTCTCTCACCACCATCAGGTGGATCCACATGAGCTCACTTTGGTTTATAACCTGAGGAAGATGATGAAGAACGACTGGGTGAGAAGAACACACTAAAGGCGTTGACCATAGCTACATGAGAATATTATGTTTCTTTTTCTTTTTTTTTTCATTAACACTCTCACTCTCCTGTCTCAGACTGGAGGCGCCATCATCGCCACTGTGTCTCAGACGGGGTCTCTCTACATTTCAAAATCTGCCTACTTGCCTCAAGAGCTGCTAGGAGAGGTATTGTACTTTTTTTTTTTTTATCCATACCAATTGCCTTCAAGCTCTGACAGTAGATTAGTCTTTTCTTCTCTTTCCCTAAGTTTGGTCATTAGTCAAGAAATTGCAATTCTGACCTGAAGGCTGCATCACTTCAATCATCAGGGTCAGGGGCATATAAGAAAAGCCTTGTGGAACAGAAACTTGACCAGAATGAATTTTCGAATGTGTTTCCATCTTGTCTGGTTTGTTCAGTTCGTTTTGTTGCTGAAAGCTGTACCTGTTGCCAGCGTTGTGTCGTCATGTTGTCGTAGTGGATTATAATATTATTTATTGCAGTCGTATTTATCTGATGTCTGCTGCATGTCAAAAGATCAATTTCCTAATGGACAAGTAAATCCATCATCGTCACCCACCTCTTCCATTTATGCTGGACAATGATTGAACTATAAAACTCAAAGTAGGGTCGTATACCAGAACTCGTCTCACCAAATAAAAAATGTTGATGTTATAATTGGACAAAATTAATCATTTAGACCTCTCTTCATGACCACTGACCATGTGGGCTTAACTTGAACTTGTCTTTTTTTAATGGGTTTATACACATCTAAAAATATGCATTACTTATTTCTTCCCACTGTGCATCTGAATTATATAAATACTGATATCTGTTTTTGTTTTATTATTATTATGATTATATTATGACAGGGCTTGTGTTGTATATGGACTTTCTTGTGATCATGCAAATGAAACTGACCTTGCTTGTGATCATGTTGCATCTCTGAACTTGCTATTTTAACCAATGATGGATTCTTCTGTCAAACACACCTGAAAACGACAGCTTTGATTTCCTGTATTTTGACTTCCTGTCTGTTCTGCTCATCAGAGGGGTTTTGACACCATGGACCCGTTTGTCCCAATGTCTGTGTCCAACTACAGCGAGAAGGAGTTTGAGAGCTGTTACCTTTATTATATGGACCGCCAGTGGCTGCAGCATCCACAGAGTAAATAATAATCATGTTGATTGCTTTGCTATTACATACTAATGGCATGCAAGTGCTGATTTACTAACTTGAATTTTTTTTTGTCCATCAGGCCGAACAGAAGAGGGGAAGAAAGAACTAATTTTCTTGAGCAACAGAAATCCAACGATGTTGGAAAGAATTTGTGCCTTCCTGTGAAGTCACAGACAGACTCAAACCACACACATACAAACACAAACATCACACAAACAATATCAGTGTCCTGGAAATACATAAACATACAAATGTCCATGTCTATAATGTGTAAATTATGATGCATGTGTGTTACTTTGATAATAAAATGTTGAACAAAGTAAAGAAGTACTGTCTATGTTTAATTATGAAAACAAATTTAGTTGGAATCCACTGGGAAGAACTCTTTTTTTTCTTCTGAGAGTGATACTGTTTATTAAATTCAAAATGCAATCTTTAATCACAAAACAGATGGATTATATTAATCCCAAAGAGAAATTGCACAGTCACAGCAGCCACTTCACAAAAATCTAAAATGGATGTACATACAGAAACCAGACAATTTAAGTGTAAATTACATCAAATAATTAAATAGACCAACTTAAATCATGTGACCATGTGAAACTGAAAAGTTTTTATTTTTGAACAGTGGTGTTATGGCCATTTATTTTTCTGCAAATGACACTGTTTGGAAACTAGAAGGAAAATTGCAGCAGAGATGGAGCAAAGCTGTCATAAGATAACTTATTATTAAAATATTTCCCAAAGCCAATTTTATTTAAGCAGCTCAATTGGATCAAAAACATTTGTAAACATTATAAAAATAATTTTGAATGTGATCAGAATAGTCCAAAAGGTCAATAAAGTATATTCTTTTTTTTTTTCTATGACCTATTTGTAGGTACGGCGCCACCTGGCTGCAGGGACAGATTGCTGCATGGGTGTTCACGTGACAGTTTACAAAGTCACATGACACATGCCAGAAGTCCATTTCCTCGCCGCAGCAAACTTAACGGGGAAGCGGTCTCCGGTATGGCAGACCGGACGAACGTGAGGTGACGGTGGAGTGTAGATATTTGAATTACCTCACAGGGCATGCCAGAGTTTCTGTCAGGCCCCTCTGAGGTGAGTTAATCTGCTGTGAAGTGCTCTGAAAGACAATGAAATGTGTGTGTGTCAGCTAAATAAACACAGCAGCTGGGTCATTGTTAATTTGTGTTTTGCTGTTTGACGCAGATTTAACCCGTGTTTAGTTCAATGTCACCTGGATCTACTTTGTTTCCAGATAAAATGGCGCTGTCGTTGCCAGCAGCTGTGCTTTTGGCTCTTGTTTTCCTCACAGCACAAGTGACCCTCTCAACAGGTAACACAACACAATACTATTACTATGACTTTCTTCACCAGGTCAGTGTGTGACAGAAAAATAACAATACCCTCTTCTCCTCCCAGAAAGCAATAAATGTGTTGCCAGAAACTTTGGCCATGACTCAGTGGTGTGTGAGTGTAATTCAACATACTGTGACAGTGTTGGGTCCGTAACCCTGCCTCCACTGGGTCAGTACTCCTCCTACCTGAGCAGCATGGCGGGCAGCAGACTAGAGCGAGGCCAGGGCCAGGTCCAGGTGAACAGCACGGGGGCAGGTGAGTGATGCAGTGCGCTTTTACTGTGCTGTCAGTGGCGTTGGAGCAGGTACAGAGTATCTCTCCTGTTTATGTGTCTCTGTCAGGCCTCAGGTTGACTATTGTTCACTACCAGAAGTACCAGAAGATCAGGGGATTTGGAGGAGCTATGACAGACGCAGCAGCCATCAACATCCTGTCCCTGTCTGCTGGTGCACAGGACCAGCTGCTACGACAGTATTTCTCCAGTGAAGGTACACTACACAGGCAAAAGTATGCGGCCACTTATTTCCACTGGTAGCTGCCTGTAATACCACGGTAATGCACCAGAGAAGCGTTATGTTCATGTTCTTCCCAGGTATATTCAGGAATTAGATACAAATTTATTATTCTTACTTGTGCATTTTTCATATATGAACATGTAGAAATCAGTGTTTGACACAAAGCAACAACTCAACATAACTTACAACATAAATTACATTTCACACAGTCTCAGAGGTGTCTATATGTAGCTAATTTGGGTGACACATCATCATCATAATAATCATTATAAGAATCCACATTGTCCAGTATAAGCAACAATCGATCGTTATTGGGGCTGGGCAATATGGTTTACAGCATTATCATGGTTTCAGTAAGGCTGTTTTTTTTTTTTAAGATATCACCATAATGTATGAAGAATCACTTAGAAAATATTCAAACTAATGTTGAGAGTAATGAGCTGATCCACTGTTTTCTCCCTTTTCATGAGACCAAACTCTCATGAAAATGTGTAGAACAAAAGCTTCAATATCCAATTCTGGGTAAGATTTTATTTTAAACCTCCCTACTTAGCATAAGCTCTATGGAATAATATAAATGGTTTGTAAGACACTATAATGTCGTTGTAAGCAGATATAAAGTGTGTTAATGTACAGTAATTACTAACAGTAATGATTTAAAACATTTCACGTCATTACTGTTTCTGTAGGCTCCATTAATGGCGGCCCACAGAAGGCGTTATAGTTGTTTACAAATGCAACGCTTACATCGGCTTACAACTATATTACAAAGTGATAATATCCATTAATGAACTTATTGTTATAAATGCTAAATAGTGGGGGTTAAAGTAAAGTTTAAAACAGAAATATGTTTTTATGAATTATAAAACACACACGGCAACATACTGTATCTGTGTACAGAAACAAAAGGACACCCATATTGATCACCCAGCCTTATTTGTTACTGCTGCTGTGTCTCTGGCAGGTATCGGCTACAGCGTGGTGCGAGTCCCCATGGCCAGCTGTGACTTCTCCACCCGTCTGTACACCTACGCTGACACAGCTGGAGACTACAACCTGGACAACTTCACTCTGGCCCATGAGGACATCAACATGAAGGTCTCTTTCTCTTTCTTTGTCTCACACACATGCGTCCATCAGTCCTTCCACTCTCATCTCACCTCTGCTTCTTCTCCTCAGATCCCTCTGCTGCAGCGTGCACAGGCCTTGTCTCCTCACCCCCTGTCCCTGCTGGCTAGCGCCTGGAGCGCCCCCGCCTGGATGAAAACTAATGGTGCACTGATAGGAAAGGGCTCCCTGAATGGCCATCCTGGTGGCAAAGAGCATAAAACATGGGCTCAGTACTATATCAGGTGACATATGGCTTTGCCTTAATGTGATGTCACACATTGGTAATGTTTGATACAAGGGAAATTTATTCTGATGGTTGCTTTAATCTTTCCTCTCAGATTCCTTGAGGAATATGCTAAATATAACTTGACCTTCTGGGCTTTGACCACAGGGAACGAGCCCTCTGCAGGACAGATGACAAACTACAGGTCTCTCCTCAATTCATTTTGCAACTGAATTTTAATACGAAACAATATTAACCATCCTCATGGCTTCACAACAGACTGAGAAGTGTCTTTGTCTCACTGCAGTTTCCAGGCTCTGGGCTTCACGCCTGAGGAGCAGCGGGACTGGGTGGCTCTGGACCTGGGCCCTGCTCTGCATGCTTCATCATACCCACACACTCACATCCTCATACTGGATGACAACCGCCTGCTGCTGCCTCACTGGGCCAAAGTGGTGAGTGCAAGGACAGAAGTAGTGGGAGAGGCCATACTAAACTTTATTATACCTGGGGCTACACTGGTGTTGCAGAAAACAAATCAGAACTCTTCAGTATAGAATTCATATAACAACAGAATTTGATAAAAGATAACATCTTAAGATCATAACTACTTTATGCTCAACAAAGTATAGAGGATTTAAGGTAAGGTAACAGTGTTTGAATGCTGGGGGAAATGTAAAATAAGTGTTGTTAGCTACCATTCACTCTGTGGTGACACAGCTGTGGGAATAAAGGAGCCTTTACATCTTCCTGTCCCACATCTTTGGGATCAAAATCGTTGTCAGAAGGAAATAATCTAGGGAGGAAACATCCTAAACCATTCCACAAGAGACGGGACAAAAGATTAAACAAGGCTCTGTCTACAAAACAGATGTCTGCAGAGTTTGCCAAGTTAAATTTAAGGCTTTTTTTCAAACCGTTTTATTACCGCACAATTTAATACCTCGTTTCACAGTCAAACCACCCAAAGGATGAAAGTATGACGGAAAACCAGTAGGAGCAATTTAGCCTAGGATTATTTATTATTATACCACTGAACTTCCCAGCGGTATATAACAATAATTCCTAATGATATAATCAGTTATATTAATGCGACCTGGATAAAAATGATAAATTTAATTTAAGCTTTTGCCAAAATCAACTCTTGCTCATTATGAGATGATAAGCTTTCTAGCTACTGTAGCTAGCAGTAGTGATAGTGTTTGCTGCAGCTCCAGTGGTGCTGACTGAAACATAAAATGTATTTTTTTAAAGAGCATCCTGCATGAATAATCCACTGTTGAAACAAACTCACTTTTAGTTTATTGGTCTATAAAGGCGATAGCCCACAATAAGATGCAAATATGTTTTTAACTAATAGGTCAAGGACACTTCAACATACTGACCTTCTGATTAGCGGACAACCTCCTGTGCCACAACCCATATCATTAAAAAAGGACATTGGTGCCTTTTTTTGCCTGCATTTGATGTGGAAATTTAGTTTTCACTCAAGCCTTTTCCTTCCCTTGTCCCTGCAGGTCCTGAATGATGTTCATGCAGGAAGGTACATTCACGGTGTGGCAGTTCACTGGTACATGGACAGCCTTGTCCCAGCTGGGATAAGCCTGGGAGTCACGCATCATCTCTATCCAGAGTATTACCTGTTTGGCACGGAGGCCTGTGCTGGGTGGAGCCCACTAGACAGAGGGGTGAAGCTGGGGAGCTGGGAGAGGGCTGAACAGTACGCACATGACATTATAGAGGTATGATCAGCTTATCTTATGCATGAGGGTTCTGCTTGTTCAGTCAGATCCACGGTAACAGATGTGAGATTTGACAAGCTGTGAGTTGTTCCAGAAAGGTGAGTCACCTACCCTGATGCTGCAGTGCAGGTTTACAAGTTGCACTCTGCTGCACATACTCTTCAGAAAGTGCCTGCAGGCCATCAAAGCAAGCTGGAACTGGTGTCTTGTTTCTTCTGTATTCTCAAAGGAAATTGGACTCTATCCATTCTATCCATTTTGCATGGGTGCATTCAGCCTCTAGATGTCTTGAGAATCAGGAGGGATTTGTTTATGTAGATGTGCTGTCCTTGTCACATGTAAACAAAACACCAGGCTCCAGTCTGATGGATTAATTTAAACAGAACAACACATCTCACTACAGTTACACAGCACAGACTAGATACTAAGCTGTGGCTGTTTTCTCCATGGCAGGACTTAAATCACTATGTGGTTGGCTGGACTGACTGGAACCTGGCATTGGACCAGACTGGTGGACCAAACTGGGTTAAAAACTTTGTGGACAGTCCTGTTATAGTGGACGCAAAGCGCGACATCTTCTACAAACAGCCATCTTTCTATAGCATGGCCCATTTCAGGTAGTACATGATGTTTGTTCACACTGTATGTCGTGTTTCACCTGTTCCGTCATCACAAGGTGTCAGTCCAAGGAGAACGACATAAATCTCCTTTTTTTACACAGTAAATTCCTGTGGGAGGAGTCTCGGAGAGTCGGGGTGTCTGCCAGTCAGAAAACAAACCTGGAATACACCGCCTTTGACAGACCAGATGGCTCAGTGGTGCTCATCGTGCTCAACAGGTACTGTACATTAAATCTGTTTGAATATGTGTGAGCGATAATGGATTGTGCTGAACTGTGGGTGCATGTTTGTTTTGTAGGTCATCATCAGTGATCCAGTTTGAAGTCTGGGATCCGGCTGTGGGCTACATCACTTCCACTGCTCCGGCTCATTCATTGCTCACACTTGCTTGGAACACACACTGACCATAAATGCACGGGGATATAGGTATATTTCTACCACCTGCCCTGCTTTTCAGCATAGCACAGATTGATTTCGTTGGTCACTTAAAATAACATTGACTCATTTGACAGGCAGCCAAAATCTTAATATGCCTTTTCTTGTGCACCAGTTCTTATCAGGGATGGTACCTGGAAGTAATGAATGTATCAACTCACCAGAATTACCTATGCTCAGGCGTGCCTTGTGATTTCCAGCTAATAAGACGCTTTGTGTCCTCACCATGTCAAATCTCAGAAGAAATCATATAAATAATGTACAGAGCTTGTATATGCCTTCTTTTGTTGCTATTTAATTTTTTGAATTTTAAATAAACCACACATTGTTCTAAAATATCCCATGTCACATCTAATGTTTTATGTATCTTTTGGTGCAGAGAGGATATAAGATGATGTGCATAAACAGGATTGTGAGCAATGAAAATTAAACTATGACAGTTTTTTGGTCAATTTATTAATACCTCATAGACATTTTTTTTTCATATATATAATATACAGTTTCAATAACCAGGTATTTCACATTTGTGTCTCCATTCTCAATGTTTTTTTTCCTTTGCAAACCGTAGGTAGTTGGGACTAAAATTATTTACATCAAAAAAATGTGATAAAAATGTGAAACAAAAGACGGTCATAAACAGAGGAATAAAATGACAGAGGGGTGCCATCTGTTTATAATATATACACCAGAAGGAATATGGTGAAATCATTATCATAAAGCATTAAATGATGGGCTGAGCGCTGTAGATTTTTTATTTCATTCCCTTACTGGTACGTTTGTGATTATTCTTTTCAGATGTAGAAGTGTCCCGAAAGATGTGAGGAATCCCTTGCTTTCATTTGATGTCAAAGCTTCCATTTGTTGCCATTAAACAGCAGCGACTCAACATGATTCCTATAAAATACTCCTGTGTTCTTTGCTGAATAGCAGCACTACAGAGGATGGACACAATAACTTTAACACCCTTACAATGTGATCCAATTAAACACCACCAGAATAAATAACCACAGTTCAATCAACGTCTTCCTGACACAATCTCAACAAAAATGTTACATTAAACCCTTCATAAACAGAACATTTATTGCAGGGCTATAGGTGTTCATGTTGTTAGGTCCAGGCTCTGTAAATGCCAAAAGTGAAATTAACCCCTACTGTATTCCCATATGCCGTACAGGGCTCAGTTGCAGGTTTCAGCGAATCATCGGGTGAGTAAAGAGGGAATGGTATGTGATATAAAGTCTGGCATTTCCCCACAAGAGTGTATTGCAGCAGTGCATTTCAAGAAAGATGGAAAAGGAGTTTGCTGGAGAGGTGGAAGTACAGAAGACATGGGCTTGATCATCATCAATCTAGGCTGGTTTGTTATTAGGCAAAAAAAAAAAAAGAGATCTAGCAGACCTCAATGGACTGTTAAGACGTCTGTTCAGGTAACTGTGTACATGGTTGAGGAGAAAGGCATTGAAATAGAAAAGAAAAATACAAAAGAAAAAAAATCAGACTGAGATGATTATGACTGCAACAGAGATGAAGAGCGGAAAGTGAGAAGCGTTTTTGTCTTCTCGGTGTGTTGTAGAATGTAGGCGTGGAGAACCGAGGGATGAGACAGGTGGGTGTCTCAGAAGGACCATCTCTCCTGTGTGCGAGGGTCCATAGAGAGGGAGGGGGACTGTGATGGGGGCTCGCTGCTGCTGTCTTCTCCGTTCAAACTCTTCCTACACACTGGACATGTGTCATGCTGCGTGGCCACAGAACAGAATGTACATTACATTAGCTTTGGGCAGTTTTCTCACAAGAGTTTTAACAAGTGGGCTCCCTATTTTAGTCCTGTTTTCCATGATAATTTGGTTGCGTGATCTTCCTGTCTGCTCAGTCAAATATACATCAGCCAATGTCAAATGACTAGCGGCGCAGGGCAAGTTCAGCATGGGTAAACTAATCCTGGATTTAGCATTAAACAAATGTTTTATTGATTAAACATAATCTGAACATGTATAATCTATTAAATATTTCTCTAATGGAAGCAAAAAGGGTTGGGCTTGTAATATTCTACACATTTTCTCACTGTTGATAAATCTCATGAGAGGACTCAAACCAACAATGGATGGATCCAACTAACTAACAAGGCCAAAGCCTGACACATCTTATTCCTCTGTGTCATAGCCGCACCGCCACACTGGACGACATGTTCCTTCATTACCATAAACAAGGGAAATGTTTATTTTGAGTTCATCCCACATGCATGGTCCTGCTGCTGTAAATACTCAGTTGGGCACCAAATGAATCCGCAACTGAAAATAGTCTCCATTAAAATCCACAATGCACTGCTACCCCACTTTGAGTAACATTTGCTAAAAACTGCAGCACCCAGCTGTTGTTAAATGAAAATAATTTATTCATGAGGCATTACTTAAGATTTATGTCTTCAGTGTCATAGACAGGACGTTGGATTAATGAATTGTTGGTTTTGGTCTTTTTATTGGATTTGTTGACAAGAACAGAAATATAGACTATTGCCAGGCTCACCCTCTATGAGGATTACCAAGTAGCCAAAGCATGTGTTCAAATTCGCTTTAGGTCTTAATATCATCATGAGCACTGTAAATATCTCATATACTGTACGCCACTACATGTCATTAAGGATCAGCTCATGAGTTCATTCTATTAAGTTCTGCTTTCTTTGTAGTGACTCACCATTTCCAGCCATGGTACTATACAGTCTGAATGAAAGAAGTGGTTACAGGGTAGCTGTCTGACCGGCTCTCCAACAGAGAAATCCTCTTTGCACACCGGACATTCCATACAGCAGTCTAAAGGAGAAAGGATAGACCTGTTTGTCTGTTTGTTCTTTAATCATTCACTGATTTCTGGTGGTAATCATCAGTCACTTTGACATCCATCAAATCATTACAATCAAAACAAGTTTGCATCATATTTAATTACTAAACACACTGAGACAAAAGCCTGAAAAAAGCACACAGACCATTATCCCAATAAGTCAGTTATCAGCAGGCCTGCAAAAGCTCAGCTCCATAGCTAACCACACAGTTACAGCTCAGTGGTAAAACAGGACAGCATATACAGAAGAGGAAGTCAAGAGGAACAGTTCCAAAACAGGACTGGGAGGAAAAAAACACTGGCAGTGAAAGACCAGTGAGCAAAAAGATGTAATTTATGTAACAAACGGATACTCTCAAGGTTAATGAACATCTCGTCCCAAACAGACACAGTTTCAGAGGCTTCTCTTGGCAGGTGGCAACAGCATATAACACAAGTGCCTGTTCATGCTCTATCTGAATGCTAAACAGACAGCATGTATTTACATTATGACAAATGTGTTATTAGCCATATTTTTTTTTTATTTTTTTTTTTTTTACAGAGGATAGATGAGGATATGTCCCCATGTATGCATATACAACTAAACAAAATAATACCTAATTTACAGAGGACTGGTGTTTATTGCTTTGCCCCTTGAAAGTGTTATTTCTGGATATTTTTATGTTAAAACTTATCATGCTGCAGTGACTTCTGTCTCAACTGCTGATTGCTTTGTGACTAAACAGCATATAGCACGAACAGCTTTAACAGGTAAGACAGCTTTTTAGTGGTGCAACCCAATTTTATTTTCTACTTCAAAACTAGCCACCTCTTTACGCAAAGACTTTACAACTCTTTACAACTAGCTCCAGCTTTGTATTTAGCTCGTTGTCCAGCTCCAGCTGCAAGAAATGCTGAAATTTTTAGTTAAGGATGCACAGCAAACAACACCTGCACAGATAAATTTAGAGAAAAACTACGAAGAGTGTCTGACCTGCTTGTTCCTGAGAGATATTGACAGTTGGGAGAGAAGAGATCTTCTCTTTCTCTGCTGGAGGAGGTCCTGTGTTTTCCAGCTGACATCGAGTCTACACACACACACACACACACACACACACACACACACACACACACACACACACACACACACACACACACACACACACACACACACACACACACACACACACACTTGTAAACTGAAGAGAAATTAAAAGGTGACACAAACGCAAAGTTGGTAAGAAGCTATATTAAGTTTGGTTTACCTGCGTTATCACGGCGTCTAACCCTCCCTGTCCCCAGGCGTAATCCCCTGGGTTAGAGTGCAGCATCCCCGTCCTGAAAAAAACACAGATGACTCAAGCTGATAAGAAATAGCTGTAAGACTGTGACACTGGCAGTACCACTGAGGAACTACTCTAATGTCATCTTACCATGAGAGCGGAGGTGAGCCAGGGACTCCAGAGTTGGCAAAGAGGCCAGCAAGAAACTGTTGCACAATCCTATCACACAGAGAAAATACACAACACTTAATGGCATTGCCAAAAATAAGAACAGTTAGGATTGTAACAGCATAAATAGCACAGTCATTATTATAAGTGGGTGTATGCAAGGCAGACAAGAGAGCCAAGAGGATGGTGATGAAAACAGAAGACAGTTACTCACCCTTCTACAGCAGGCGAGCGGTCTGGCCTGCTGCTGCCTCTGGACCGGTATCTCCTCTGGCTGTGCAGGCGAGGGGGGCGTCCTGGCCCCCAGTGTTCTCCAGCTCCTAGTAGACCCCCCATGGGTCCCCCTAGGCCTGCTGGGACTGACCCCCCAATTGGTCCCCCTCCTAACCCCCCCAGGTCGCTGAGACTTCCCAGGCGTCCTCCAGGGAGCCGAGGTTCTGAGTCAGGGGTGTCACTGTCTGTTGTAAATGGCCGCTCCAGTAACAATAGGTGCCATAGCTACAGGGACGTTGGGATATGACAGAGGAGGAAACAGGAGGCCATTGGAAGAAAAAAGGATTTTTAGATAAAAAGTGGGATTAGGAAAGGGAAAGCAGGGAGCAAAATGGGATATGAGAAAATGCAAAAGCAAATTAAAGGGCCAAAGGAAAGGTAAAAGGAGAAGGGAGGGGAAGAATAAATCAAAACACATCAAATGATTAAAAATCAATCCTCTTTGCCCCCTTCCCCACCCTGTTCCCCCCAGAATCCCTCAGATCAACTCGTACCTCTGCAAACTGTGTGGCTGTGTCATCTATCCCGTTAGCGCCACCCTCTAGGAGACTGAGGGAAACAGTGGAAACAAGGGGACAAAAGACACAATATTAGCAACATTCACTAAACCCTACACACATGTTCAAGTTGAGTGTTGGCCTGGGACAAAACTGCACAGTGAGCCCTCAAACTTCAACAGCATAACATGTAGGTTCTTTGTAAATAAGATGAAGAAAACATTTAAAGGTCCCTCAGCATGCTTTTGTTCCAGACAAACACTAACAGGCCTTAACATCTCATGCTGTCTACAGACGAGATGTACAGTAGATAAGAATAATACAAGTGTTACATGTTACCTGGAGTCTTCTGTTACTTCCTCTATGAACCCTGAATCACATCTTGGACAGATGTACTCCTGGAAAGAACAACAACAAAGACTGAGTCATTCCCTAGAATGCCCTAGAAACCAGGGTCACATATTTGTATGTCTTGAACCTGAAGCCATCCAGTTGACAATGATATAAAGTAGTGAAAAGCAGGAAATTCTCCCAAATTTCTCAAATTAGTAATTACAATAAAATTGCAGTTAAAAGAACAACAAAAATCAAGGTTGATATTTTTGTTTTACACATGAGAAAAGTTTTGTCTGATGTAATGTCTGGAAAATATTCTTCCATATTCACCCAGCCCTAGAGGGGGAACCATAAACTCATTGTCAAGACCTTGTGCTGACTGGCTTTGTCAACAAAAGAACACTTTGACAATTTGCCTTTGAGAGGATAATATCAACCAGATTTGTATGACTGCCTGTATTTTATGAATGTAACCCAGGAGGTAAAGCTGGTCTGCCAACCACACCTAAAGTGTGCTGTGTTTTAGAACCTGCTGTAACACAATGAGGAAAACACTCCACTGCCACCTGGTACAGCTGGATCATATGTTGTCCACTCACTGTAAGCCTGGGTTTCTCAACCTGGGGTCATTTACTATACAGACAGAGTTTAGACTGATATATTTGTTTTATAGTGTGTTAATGAAAAAAGTAGGTCACAAAAATAACAGCCTCTCATATTATATTATATATTTGTATTATATTCTATTTGGAGCTGATTGAGTGCTTTTGAAAACAGAATACATATTAATACAATTTTCAAACTCATATGGAAATTTAATACCTTCTATTGGATGGTTTACAAAACTCTGTGGCTCTGAAACCAGAGTCGCAAACAAAAATGGTTGAAAAACTCTGCCATAAGTAAAAACAGCTCATGTCAATCGTATGTCATTTGCTCAGAGGTTATATCATCTGTTGTATAAAAGGACACATGACTGAGAGATGGTCCTTTGGATATACTATAGAAGTGTG